TAAACAGCTCCAACTGTCTTGGAACTCACTATATAGACCAGGCTGACCTTGAATTCCCAGAGATCCACCTGCCTCTGCTTCCTGAGTACTGGGATTAAAGATGTGTGCCACCACCCCCTGGCAGGGAGTTGTTTTTTAATATTGCTTTAAGGTTTAAGTTCTTTATATTTTCATTCAAATAGTAAAAACTTGATTATTACTTATTTAGGCAAGGATTTATGAAGTAACTGGCAATTTTCCTACTCCTCCCCTGAGTGCTGGCATTGCAGGTGTCCACCACCAGGCTGGCTAGATCTAAGATTTCATGTAAAGAAATATAGCCATGCTCTTTGGACTGGAGAGGGAGGGGGAGGGGAGTGAGGGGAGGGGGAGGGAAAAGGGAGGCGGGGAGGAGACAGAAATTTTTAATAAAAAAAAAAAAGGAAAAAACAAAACAACAAAAAAGAAATATAGCCATATCTTAGCCCATTTTTTAAGTCCACTGCCAAGGTTAGTCACCTTCAGCTTCACTATTGCTAAATCACATTTATTTATTTATTTAATTTTTCTGTTATGTTTCCTGATATAAACATTATCTTGTCATTTCCTCCTGGTGTAGATGAGTATTTTTGACACACTATTTTTCCAACTATTTATTGTTTCCTACCCTTTAATCTGATAGGACTTTATGGGTCTTTTACAGTAAATACCTCAAAGCACATATACTTTTTTTTGAAAAGTAACTTTTAAAAAATAATTTATTTAAATTTATTTTATGTGCATTGGTATGAAAGTGTCAGATTCCCTGAAACTGGAGTTATAGACTGTTGTGAGCTGCCATGTGGGTGCTGAGAATTGACCCAGGGCCTCTGGAAGAGCAGCCAGTGCTCTTAACTGCTGAGCCATCTCTCCAGTCCCCCAAAAGTAACTTTCTCTGTAATTCCATAGCTGTTCAGTATAGTTCCTAAAATCTAGATTGTCACTCCTGTCATACCTGGACTCAGTATTTTTATTACCATTTCCTTGTGTGTGTGTGTATGAGCATATGGCACACATGCAGGTGCCTCTGTGGTGCAGGATACAGTGTTAGTTCCCCTGGAGTTAGAGTTACTGGTGGCTGTGAGCATCTTTACATGGATGCTGGGACATGAACTCCAGCCCTCTGCAAGAACAATACATATGCTTACCTGCTGAGCCATCTCTCCAGCCCCCAAAAGACAGGGTTCTTTGTGTAACAGCTCTGGCTGTCCTGGAGCTCACTTTGTAGACTAGGCTGGTCTCAAACTTACAGACATTCCCCTGTCTCTGCCTTCTGAGTGTTAGGATTAAATGTGTGGACCACCACTACCCGGCTCATATTTGCTTTTTGATTGAATAAAAGTTTTCTTACCAAACATCTAAATGACTTATAGAGGCAAACATTTTGTTTTTTCAAGACAGGGTTTCTTTGTAGCTTTGGAGCCTGTCCTGGAACTAGCTTTTGTAGACCAGGCTGGCCTCGAACTCACAGAGGTTCACCTACTTCTGCCTCCCGAGCACTGGGATTAAAGACGTGAGCCACCACCCGACTTTGTTTTGTTTTTTGTTTTTTTGTTTGTTTGTTTGTTTATTTGTTTTTTAAAGACTGGGTTTCTCTGTATAGCCCTGGCCATCCTGAAACTCGCTTTGTAGACCAGGCTGACTTTGAACTCAGAGATTCCTCTGCCTCTGTTTCCCAAGTGCTGGGGTTAAAGGTGTATTCCACCATGCCTGGCTGTGACACTTTTTGGTGGTGATACTGGGGCTTGAACTGGAATCACCAAGCACCTGCTTGGTACACACTAGCTCTCCTGTTACAGTGAACAACACTCTCTACACAGATGAACTTGCTTTAGTGCTATTATCACGGTGGAGAATGCAGACTTGGAGTGATGTCTGTCCCTCTGTTTCCATAGGCAATGGCTGCAGACAAAAGTGATGAGTGGTTTGCCACGAGAAATAAACCAAAGGCTTCGGGTTAATGGAAGCCATGCGAGAGCAGCGCTTAAACTCCAGTCTGGCGTCTGAGTCCTGTGCGGCTGTTTACAATGAACACTGTGTCCAACCCAGACAAGAGGCTCATGGGGTAGTTTCACTCTTCAAAGCTTTATGTTCTAGAAATGAAATGTTTTTTTATCATTCTCAGTAGTGGTGAACTCCTGTATGTAATTGTATGAAATTTGGTAACAACTTAATGTCCAGCCTGAGATAGCTCTATGGAACATTACCCTTGGCTAAGGGTAGTGGAAAATTTGATTAGCTGTGAATCATGTAGATAATATTGGAACAAATGTTCAGATGAAAGCCAAACTAGCTGGGCATGGTGGCGCATGCCTTTAGTTCCAGCACTTGGGAGGTAGAGTCAAGGATCTCGGAGTTCAAGGCCAGTCAGGACTATAGAGAAAGACCCTGTCTATAAACAAATCCAAAAAAGCCGAACCAACTGCTTAGAGTGCTCATGTTTCCAGGTCTTGATGGATCTTCCTATGGAAGTCTTGGCATTTAAAGAAGCCTTTCCTTTCAAGTTCCAAGATAGTCTCTCCTGATATGCAGGGAGACACAGTGTCACTTCACCATGGAACTCAAGGCAGCTTTTAACTTTGTAGCCCTGACTGACCTGCAGCTATGTCAGCTAGATGGCCTCAAACTCAGAGACCTACCTGTCTCTGCCTCCTGCTGGGATCAAAGGCACAAGCCACTTTACCCTTTGAACTTTTGATCTTCCTACCTCAGCCTCCAGTGCTGGGATTATAGATGGATGTTACTAGTCCAGGCTTTTGATGTTTCTTTCTTTCTTTGTTTTTAAGAAATTTTATCCTGGGTCCAAAGAGATGGCTTAGTGCTTCAGAGTACTGGTCACTCTTCTAGAGGACCGAGTTTGATCCCAGCACCCACATGTCTGTTCTTTCTGTAATTCTAGAACCAGGGGTTCCAGTACTCTCTTAATGCCTCTGAAGGCGCCGCAAATCCATGTTACACAGACATATATGCAGGGGAAACACCCATAAAGATTAAGAAAAATTACCCTTTGGATAAAAAATATCTGGGAGCTGGGTGGTAGTAGCACATACCTTTTTTTTTTTTTTTTTTTTTTTTTTTGGTTTTTCGAGACAGGGTTTCTCTGTGGCTTTGGAGCCTGTCCTGGAACTAGCTCTGTAGACCAGGCTGGTCTCGAACTCACAGAGATCCGCCTGCCTCTGCCTCCCAAGTGCTGGGATTAAAGGCGTGCGCCACCACCGCCCGGCAGTAGCACATACCTTGAATCCCAGTCCTCTGTGAGTTGAGGCTAGCTTGTTCTACAAAGCTAGTTCTAGGACAGCCAGGACTACACAGGGAAACCCTGTCTCAAAACAAAACAAAAAAACAGCCAAAAAACCAGATCTGGGTAATGTCCTCACTTTGATTTGATTTTACATTTTGAATAACCAGAGGAAACAGGAGATGTTTAATGAACAAAGTATTCAGTGAGTCACATTTCTGTATGCTTGGGTCTGTACTACTTTGTAAAGTGGTCTTAGTTCTCTAAAATGGAGTAGATTATTTCTTCAGCCTGGAGAAATGTTTTCTGTTTAGGCTCATATCATTATATCATTAAAAACAGTTTTATTGAGTACATTTGTCATTAAAGATTTTTTGGTTTTGAAGCAAGGTCTCATATTGTCCCTGCTAGTCTGAAACTATGTAGACCCTCTAATTCATAAAAAAAAAAAAAGGACTATTTAAAAATGTGCTGACTTGTCTTGGTGGTGCACACCTTTAATCCCAGCACTTGGGAGGCAGAGGCAGAGTTCAAGACCAGCCTGGTCTCCAAAGCAAGTTCTAGGATAGTCAGGGCTGTTACACAGAGAAACCCTGTCTCAAAAAAACAAAAATAAAGAAAAAAAAACCCACAACACTTTAGGACCCACAAGATAGTTCTGTAGGTAAAGGTGGCGGCACTTACCACAAAAACCTGGCAATCTGAGTTTTCTCTTATGAACCTAAGTAAAGGTCAGAGGAGAGAACCAACTCAATAAAGCTGTGTTCTGACCTCCACGTACACTCTTAGCACACTCACTCCAGCCACACCTACACATATGCACACACAATAATAAAATATACTTTAGAGCCATGATGGGTGGTTTATACTTGTTATCCTAACACGCATGAAGAAGTAGATGGATCTCTGAAAGTTGAGGCCAGCCTGGGTTTACACAGTGAATTCCAGACCAGTCAGGCCCTATCCCAAAAATCAGAATAATCAAAACACAAAACAAACCACACACACATACAAAAAAACACCTTTAGAAATTTGCTGTTATGTGAATAGATTTGCCAGGCAGTGACTGTATCTCAGAAGACAAGTTTTAAAGAAAAGTGTAGGAAAATGTCATGCTACTGTAGAGTCCTTTAAGAACTCTATTTAACCCTTCATATGCAAGCTTCAGGCACCGTGGTAGCATACTGATGTCTCTGAAATGACTGACCAAGACCCACATGTGCCTATATACATACTGTCCAGCAGGGCCCAAGCAGAGACCTAGATTAAGAACACCAATCCTAAGTACATTTAGGTTGCTAAGCCTCCGATGAGTCTTGTGGAGCCTAAGATCCTGAAACCATCTTGCTCCATTGTCCCTCAACTGCTGTGTTGTGATGCATGAGCTACTTCATCACTGTGTCACTGAAGTTTGAGTTCCATCAAAATCCTAACTTCACTGGGCCTATGTTCTAGATGAGCACTTTTCTGTTTGATTTTAGTGTTAAGACAGAGCCCCTTTCTCTTCTGTATTGTTACAGATCCAAGGTCCTGCCTCCACTTCCAGCCTTGGTCATTTTCATGGCATGACGCACCCCACCCATCTCCACTTCTGTATGCCATCGATCCACATAGGTAGGATGGGTATTGGTGCCAGTCAGACCACACAGAACCAGATTAAAGGAGTTTTACCCAGCAGAGCTGCTTTTACATTTGAACCCCTTTTCAGACCCCTCACAGTTTCTTTTTTTGTAACAGACTCCACTCTCCTGCGGTTAAGGTGATTTATTGATGTCTCCGCTAACCTTGCTACCCTTTCAGTGTGTTCCAGCCATCAGAACTCTTAAGCCCATTCCCTACCAGTGAAACCATGTGACTTCCTTGTGTTGGCCAACATGTCCTTAGCCACACTCGTTTTTCTTCAGCTCCTCCACTTTGGCAATATAGATCCTCATGGCATCCAACTTGGACATCCCTTTGTTCACATTCCACGCCTCCCATTTGGCCTTTGCTCTCACATCTGTGGCTGGAGGGACAGGGATGTTACAGTCGCCCTGGGTGGCCTGTTTGTAGAAGCTGTACACCAGCAGTTTCTCCTGATCGCTGACAGGACCCTTCAGCTGCTTGAGGGACGCGCAGGCCATTTCAAACTCCACTTGGCTCATTGGCACACCAGAGGCTGAGCCTCTCTGTTCTGAGTGATACCTAGTACTAGAAGAGAGTTGGAAATAAGCAAAGCGGGTGATTGATTATTAGACCTTGGAAAGAAAGGGCAAAGTGATAATGTGTGTGTTTGATAAAGTACAAGTTGCAGCCCAGGAATCCATTCTATTGGTCCTATCCCACAGTGCTTTTTCCAGTGTGAATGCCCTTCATAGTTACAAAGGCGCCTATGAGCCCTGAAAATTGACGTTGCTGTTGCCTATAGAAGACAGTGCAGCATGAAAAGCATTTGAGTATTTGTACGTGTCTCAGAGGCTGGACAGGGAGGGGTGAGCCCCGTGGATCCACTGCCGGTTAGCGGGCAGCTCGGGGAAAGGCTATTCCGTAGGGATGAATTATGGGCGGGAGCTGCCCGGGGTTCCTGGGTGAAGGTGAGAGGTCTGGACTAAGGAATTGGACCTCCTGGCTTCAAGAGGACAGATTCCGCCAGGAGCCTGCTTATGGTACCTGAGGGTAGACGGCTGGGAAGCCTAGGGTCGAAAGGGGGCGCTGTGGACTTGGGCGGCCCCCGACGCCGCGAGTTCGTTGAGGAGGAGTGCGGAGGGCGCGGAGGGCGCGTGCGCACGGGGCGGCAGCCGGTCAGCGGAGTGCCTCTCGGAAGCCCAGACGCGCTGTGGGCGGTGCCTGTGACGCGCCTGTAGCTCCGCCCTTTATGCCGTGGCGCTGCGTTCGCGGTCTCGGAGTGGGAGGGGCAGTCTAGTCCCGCCGCCAGCTTCGCCGCCATGGACCTAGGTGGGTTCGCGTTTCCCTACTCCGGCCCTCGGGCCGCGCCCCGCAAAGCACATCCAGGGTGGGCCGAGGCCTGCGCTCCTCCAGTGGCGCTATTCAGAGCCCGCTTTGGAGACTGGGGGTCTGAGGAGTCTTTGGAGTCCCACTGCCGCGAGGACGGCCTCCAGCCCGCGGCCCCGCCTGGTGTTGGCCCTCCGTCCCTCGTGGTCTCTTCCCACTAGAAAACAGCGGGCGAATGTAGCCTTGGCGCCCCTGAAAGTGCACAGGGCTACTGCTGCACGTGTTTCGGAAATGCCGGGCTGGGAGGGACGGACGTCCGGACCGTTCTTCCTTATTGGGTGACTGCCGAGTCAGTGAACAAGTTTCTTATCAGGTCTCCTGGTCCACACAACAGAGATGCTGATACCTGTCTTCCTCCCAGAGGCGTGGAGTTTCATTTTAAGATCACGTGCATAACTGGGCGCCTTATGGTGCCTTGTGCACACCTGTGACCCCCAGCCCTCGCTTGCGCGCGGGGTTGCAGCAGCTAAGGTGGCACTTTTGAATCTGAGGTTTGGAGTCTCCTCCCAGGCGAGGACTGGAAGGAGAGCGGTGTTGATAGAAATCTGTGGCCATCTGCCAAGCCTCCCCACCCTGCTAGGTGTACTCTTTAGAGGGTAAGATGGGGAGGCCGTCCTGGGAGGTACTCCAAGATTTGCAAATAATACGCTGTGGAGAAATGTCTTCGTCCCTAGCCAGCTCTTTAGTTTGGAATGGTAGTTTCGTGCCCCGCAGCTGTGAAGAGTTGTGCCATGGCTTGACTCCGCTGGTTTAGACACCCATCATAAATTGTGTCTGGGCCTCGAGGTTCCCGCTCTAAAACAGGATAATCCTCAAGACGTTACTTTGATGATGAAATGATTTTATAGGTGTAAAGCTGGGTGCGGTGGCCTATGTCTTAACCAGTACTCTGGAGGCAGACGCAGGAAGATCTCAAGAATTCTAGGCCAGCCTGGTCTATATAGTTTTAGCCATTCCTGGCTACATAACAAGATCCTATCTCGAAAAAAAAAAGTATGCCACCAAGCCCAGCCCAGTGCCTACCAGAGTAAGCAGTCACTTCCTAGCACCAGCTACTGATAAAGCCTTTCAGTTTCCCCTAGCCATGAACCAAGCCTGCGACTTTGTCGGGCCGCGTGTACACAAGTGTCGGAAAGGTACATGTTTGGCGGCAGACATCTGTTCAGCTAAGCTGATAAATACAATAAAATTGAATTTACAATCATAAGGGAATGGTGTTGGGGGAAGGCAGAACAACCTGAACCAGAAAGAACCCTGCCACAGGAACCTAGCCTGGAGCCTGACTGCTACTGTGGAAGCCAAGGTGCCCTGCCTTCGGGCCTGAGTTAACAGGCAGGCTGATCCTTGACTTTTTTTTCTTTTCCTTTATTTTATTTTATTTTTTTAAAACTTTTTTTTATTTATTTACTTAACTTTATTATGTTTGTTGGTGTGAAGGTGTTATTTTATTTGTGTGTGTGTGTGTGTGTGTGTGTGTGTGTGTGTGTGTAAATGGTTAGTGGCCAAGAGATTTGTTATTGCCTGGAGTCAGTATCCCCCCCGTAGGGAAGGTTTGAGACAGGGTCACGATGTACCTTGGCTGACCTCACAGAAATCTGCCTCCCTAGAGCTGGGATTAGAAGCAGGGGCCACCACAACTAGCCACTGGAGTCAGTGTTTTTGCTGTTGACCCCGTGGCTAACGAGAATGGGGGAGAGATGTTCCTGGGAGCATGAGGGACTGAGGGAAGGGTTGGGCACCTCTGAGGCCTGGGAATGGGTGGGGGTTATCAGGAGCAATGACCATGACCTGTTAATTGTTACACTCTTGCTGTGGTTTCTAGGCCAAATTACACACTTTGATAAAGACCTGTGCCCTTTTGTTTCTGCACTGGTGGAGACAGAAGAGTGGGGAGACTGGTCCTGCCAACAATTGTGCCTTTAAGTCAGGCTCTTGGTAGTCTGATTATTGTTGAGATTTCTTTTATAACCCTTCCATTCTCCCATCCCTGAAAGATGTTTCCAGAAGGTAACAGTTCCAAATTATTTCCGAAAGTGTGATTAGTGTATGTGGTGTGTCATGTGATTTTCATGGTTATACCATGAAGATTGTAGTCTCACATATGCAGACAGACTCGGTAATGTGTAAAGTCACGTTTTTGAATGACTGAGCTTGAATTTAAATCCACTGATTAAATTCCAATATTGCCTTCCTTTAAATGTATCAGTTCTTAGCTCAGTGAATGAATGACCACTTTCCTGGTTCCTGCCAGAGAGCCAGAACCTTTGGTAGCTTCTCCTTTTTGTCTGGAAGAAACCACTGGGTGAACCTTTTTCCTGTAAGATCCAGAATGGTGAAATCCATTAGCAGGAGTGTACTTAGAAAGAAGGAAGGCAGAGCAGGGGAAACAGCTCAGTGGTAGAGCTTGCCTAGTATATATGTAAGGCTCTGGGCTCAAAAACAAAGGCTTGACTGGGTGTGATGGTGTATGCCTTTAATCCCAGTGCATAGGAAGTAGAGGCAGGCAGATCTCTGAGTTCAAAGCCAGTAAGTTCATAGTGAGACCCTGTCTCAAACAGAAAAAGTAAAATAAAATAGTAAAACCACCCAGAAGACTGCTCATCGTCCAGTGTTGGACCTGCCGTCTGTCATCACATCCAACAGAGCTCAGGTTTTGTTTTGTATTTATTACATTCTGTGTGTGTATTTGTGGGTACCATCAGTGGAGGTCAGAAGACAGCTTCTAGGAATTGGTTCTCTCTTGCTGAATTAGGCTTAGGGATCAAACTCGGGTCATCAGGCTTGGTGCACTGAGTCATGTCACTGTCCTTTGTCAAGTCTTCTAATGCATACTTGGTGGCACTGTCACCTCAGCAGTCTGGCTTTCCTTGTCACTTTGCTGAGGGACCTTAGTCACTTCCTTGGTTTCCATCAACTTGTCTGTGTTGGCACTGCCCATACTCACATCAGGCCTTTTCTCCTCAACTCGCTCCATTGCTGAAGGACATCACTACATGTTCTGTCAGACTCCAAATAACCAGAACTGAACTTTTCTCCCCTTTAAATCTGTCCTGGGGGCTGGAGAGAGCTCAGTGGTTAAGAACATGGAAGGGTCTTATAAAGGACTTGGAATTTAGTCCCCAGCACCTGCAGCAGGTGGCTCTCAATCACCTGTAACTCTAGCTCCAGTGAATTCAGATAACTAAAATACTTAAAAAGACATTTAGAAGCCTGTTCTGAATCCCTCTCTGCTTGCTTTTAATTTTTTATTTGGGGGGTATTTTTAATTTATTTGTTTTTGTTGTTGTTTTGGTTTTTTTGAGACAGGGTTTCTCTGTAGCTTTGGAGCCGGTCCTGGAACTAGATCATGTAGATCAGGATGGCCTCGAACTCACAGAGATTCTCCTGCCACTGCCTCCTGAGTACTGGGATTAAAGGCGTGCGCCACCACCGCCCAGTTCTCTCTGCCTGTTTTTAGTGGTACGATCGTCCTCCTAATTTTCAGGCTAGAGATCTTGGAAACTGGGTTTTTTTCCTCAGTCAAGTTCCCTTCGGGAGCTCTTACTAACCACATCTTCCTCTCCCATTGAAGTCAAGGTCGTCCTTAACCTTGATAATGATAGACAACACTGGCTGTTTCTCTTAGCCTCTGCTAAACTTCTGAAAACTTCATTAGCTCTTGGCTTCTCTGTGCAGGACCTCTGAATATTTGTGAGGAAATGACTATTCTGCATGGGGGCTTCTTGATGGCCGAGCGGCTGTTCCACCCCAAAGACCTGGTACAGCTGACAAAGTCTGACTGGGAACATGTAGGGCAGCCCATTGTGGAGGCCTTGAAGGAGATCTCCTCAGCCACAGCACATTCCCAGCCATTTGCCTGGAAGAAGAAAGCCCTGATCATCATCTGGGCGAAGGTTCTTCAGCCCTCCCCCGTCAGTCCTTCTGACACTGACACTCGGTGGCAGGAAGATGTGTTCTTCTCTGTGGGCAACATGATTCCTACCATCAACCACACAGTCCTTTTTGAGCTACTTAAGTCTCTGGAAGCTTCTGGACTCTTCATTCAGCTCCTAATGTCCCTGCCTACCACCATCTGCCGCTCAGAACTACAGAACTTTCTGGAACACATGGCTATTGATACTTCTTCCAAGGATGTCGCCTTCTTCCTGGATGTCTGGTGGGAAATGATGAAGCACAAGGGTGACCAGCAGGACCCCTTGCTTTCCCAGTTCAGGACGATGGCCCATAAATACTTGCCGTCTTCAGATGAGTTTTCCCATCCTCCAAAGAGGTTTAAGTCTGACCCAGACATAGGTCCCACCATGCCACTGTTGGCCATGCTGCTCAATGGGCTGAAACAAATCCAAAATAGAATTCTGTGCCTCGGCATGAAGTCTTGTGCACTAGCTAACTTGGCTGACATGCTGAATGTGTTTGCATTGATGGAGGATGACCCCCAGGAGGTATCTGCCACCATATACCTAGACAAACTAGCCACAGTGATCTCTGTATGGAATTCGGACACGCAGAACCCATACCATCAACAGGCCCTGGCCGACAAGGTAAAGGAGGCAGAGCGGGACGTGAGCCTCACCTCGCTGGCCAAACTCCCCAGTGAGACTGTTTTCATGGGGTTTGAGCTCATGCACAACTTGCTGCAGGAGTGGGGTACAGAACTGCAAGACATGCTCAACAGCAGTCAGGGGACAAACTATGACACCTACCGGCTGTGTGACAGTCTGACTTCCTTCAGCCAGAACTTGAAGCACTACCTGGATACTGCCAGCATG